GGGGGGGGGGGGGGGGGGGGGGGGGGGGGGGGGGGGGGGGGGGGGGGGGGGGGAATGGGACCGAGAGACAAGAAGGAACAGAAGCGAAGCGGTGCGAGGGCGGCATTGGTTTCGGAACAAGCAAGCTCGCGCGCAAAACTATCTTAGGTGGTCGATAATACATACATATTGCGCACCCGCTATGTAGCGAGGGGCCATGTTGCGTGCCCATTTGTGTTCTCCTGAGTATCATGTTTCCGGCTACCCTTATCAGAGACTAGGGCAACAAACAATACAACATGTTGGTCTTGAGCCTTTCATCCCACACGATGCCCTACTCAAATAGACCCGCGGCAACGACACCACAAGACATTCTTAGAAAGTATACAAGAACACATTCAACCGACCTTGAAACGCATGTTGGTGTTGAGCAGCCGGACGGACGGGCCAGACTGCGGATAGTTCTCGGGCAGGGAGATGCTCCCATGGTAGAGTCCGCCTTCGAACGGTGAGTCCTTCGCGCCCAGGAAGGTGAAATGCCACTCGAACATGTTCCCCACCGGCTGGTGTTCATACGGTACAGGCAGGCAGGGGCAAACATACGAGAGCAGCGTAGGGAAAAAAAAAGGCCGGTGTTGGCAAAACACAAGAGCAGAGTAGGGAAACATGAGGCTGGTGCTGGCAAAACACAATAGAAGAGCAGGGAAGAATAAGACCTGTGTTGGCAAGCACGGGTAAAAGACGAGGGCAACGAAGGGGGATATAAGGCTGGTGTTGGGAAGCAAGGACAAACGCACAAGAGCAGCGTGGGGAAAAATTACGCTGGTGTGTGCAGCACGTCCATGGATAGCTTACTCTTCGAAACAGGGGTCGGTGCATATCCGCGTGCCACGGACTGTTTGTATCAGCCGGGGGTAGTATTCTCACTATTCTCCGGGAAGTGGGTGACGTCTGAAAATTGTGATATTGTGATTTTGTGACAATGTGCTTATGTTCAGCAGTTGGGGTGCCCGGCGGTCGGCATGATACACGGAGCCTATGTGTGATCTGATTAATGGGGAGCTGGGGTTCCCAGTGCCTTCGGCTCTCTACCCACCTGTACATGAGCTCTGTGCATGTCAACATGACTAATGCTCAGGGTAAGGGAAGCACGTCTTTGTGTCTCCACACGGATCGGTTGCTAGGTTGCTACCGTCTGGTGACCCGCCGAACATCTAACGAAACACATACTCCACAGAAAGCGAGGCGGGATTTTACTGCTGTGATCTAGGGGATAGCCCCTCTAACCTAACAATAAATCTGACGCGGTAGGCAACACTCTAGTAATTACTGGCTCTGTCCCTATCCACTGTAAACAAACATTGATCTGACATGGTAGGCTGCAGGCTAGCAAGAAGGCTCTCTCGCGCACCTTTAATCGAAACGTTTCGCTTGAGTTTCCTTTGGAACTCCAATGGCCCTGCCCCATGGCCAGCCCGTCCGCTTGGACCTGCTTCCACTCGCTCATGATGCGTCTCATGGAAGGGCTGTTCTGGGACAACACGTGACTGGGCGGCAGAGAGGGGGGATACTCACGTTCTGCATGCCTTGGGAGTAGACCATAACGGGGGGCGGAAACGCGGCATTTCGCAGCAACAACAATTGACCCGCGGACGTTGTAGGAAGGGGAGAATTTCGGCATGATGGACGGGATTGGGACACGAAGGCTCGAGTCTGCAGCAACATCTCCATCATTGTACGATATCCTGAGTTTATCATTGCGCTGTATTCCCCACAGGCAGCGTAAGATACGTCCGTCAAACGTACTTGAACATCTTCAGAACACAAACATATTCCAAGGGACGCTTTCGGAACGCGTGCTGGCGAGGGCGTCAAGAGCTATGGAATTAACGTCGTATGCATACACACCACAAATGATACTCTTGTACTAATAAAACAGAAGTACAGTGGAGTAGATCGCCGTAGACTGGTACGCAGGAGAGGCGTGGGAAAGTGTCGGAGATCGAGAGACAGGACTGGGAGATCCAGAGATGAGTCCACTCGACATGCGGTAGGCACAACAACAACATAGCCAAGCGATGTTGGACACAGAAGCCACACGGACGCAAGGTTGTTGCTCGACAGCACCACCGAGAGTCAACAAAATGCAGGGTTCAGTAAGTACAGCAACCGCTTCGTGCTCTACCGAGGGACCGTAACCGTTTCATGGAAAGCGCGGTGCGCGGTAACGTAGGTGACAGTACATAATACACCACCCCCTACGCCCATTCTCAAAGCTCGACTACTCCATCGCGAAAAGGATGAAAAAAACATATCATATATTGTGGGAAAGCTCTCAATAAGCCGGTTCCAACGCCACCATTCTCGACGCCACCATCGTTGTTGCGGTGGGGTGTAGTCATTCTTTGAAAAGTGGTCTAGACGGGGTGTGATATCTTATCTCACCTGTAGGTACCTGCTACAAGAGAGAGAGCGGTCAAAATTGCATGTTGTACTACGTTCGTGTGTGTGTGTTTATTGTGTTCGTGTGTGTGTGCCGCACGACAACATCTGCCCCAAGCGTACCAACATGCAGACCCATGTTGCCCGGTATGCGGTATGCGAGCAGCGGTCATTGGCCCTCTCGAGAGCACCTCACGTATCGCGGATGATGCTGCAGGATATGGGTTTGGCGAGAACGACGCCGTCCGTAATCCCTCCGCGTGAAATACACCAACCTGCTGTATTTTATGCTTAAACTCACCTCGACCGTCTTGCCGAGGAACAGGCCATGCCCATCAACAAAACGAGAGCCCACCATCGCCTTAGCAAGCTACACCGCTCGCGCGCCATCATGCCGTATGTGTGTAATAATGCTCCACGCCTGCAGGAGGGCGTACACAGCTGGGAACCATTGTCTAAGGTAGGGGGGGGGGCAGGCGACAAAGACAGATGACCGACGACCAGCAGACCCAGCAGAGCCGAGCCGCCGAGCCGCCGAGCCTTGCATTTCAAAAAAACGTACACAGACACGAACGAGCGGCAAAACACCAGGCGCAACTTGAAGAGTTCAGAAGGGAGGCAAGGTGAAAAATGTTTCGCTGGTAATATAGCTGCAATGCGGGGGCGCACACTTGGTTGCGACTGCCGGGGGGGCAGGCTGGTTGCAGAGTTCGTGGCATGCGTGCGTACCAGCAGCAGCGAAGTCTTTAACTTATAGGCTAGTCATGGTTGTGCCTCCATCAACACCGCCGTATCGCGCAAGTACAGCAGTTGAGCTACAGCCGAATACGTCCCTCGCTGGGATGTATCCTTCAGCTTGCTGCCGCGCTGCAGTTTTAAGCCCTGGAATTGTTTGCTCCTCCTGCATGGGTCACTGGAAATGTAGACCACCTACCGTATAGCACTCATGTGGACAACAACGCAGGCATGTTGTACTACAAGATGTCGGAGCACAGCAGACAACTGCACCCTCCCTCATCACGGTTGAATTCCTCTTGGCGAGAGCCGTACTTGACCAATTTTGCGTACCACCACAACTGCTGTACCAAATTGGCGTAACAAGTTAGCAATTGAACAGCAGTAGTGGCTGGCACGACTGGTTGAACTCTGCGTGAGTTGCAGGATATTGTGCTCCTTTTTCCCGGCAGCGGTACGGTTACTGCTGCTCTAACAGCAGTCTGCTCCTGTATGGTAACATGAACCTACATGCACAGAATCGGTGCTGTAGCACTGTCTGCCATGTACAACTGTGTCGCTGCAGCAAGTCAGTGCAGCCGGGTGTGCGGCATAGCGGATTGATGACTAGTGACTTGCTCACCTCTACGGAGATCCGCGGCGGCCTTGTCACTTGTCACGGCGGTTGGTGTGGCCTTGTTGAGGTTGCAGCGCTGCTGTGCATTCGAGGCGACGTCGGACATGATTATAGTCTAATGCAACACAAACACCTGAACAGAGTGCCTCACGGATTTCACGGCCCGCTGTACCGTGTGTGACACAAGATACCACACCCCCGGGAACCGATTTGCTCGATTGCCGGAAGAGGCGGAGAGATGGCACCCCCTCTGGAGCGATTTTCAAAGAACGATTGCTCCACTACATGCCAAGCTGATGCCAACACCATAAATGGTGGCTTTGGAAACATCTCGTCAGGGTGTTTCTACCAGCGTATCGGTACCGTGGGTTGCGTATGATGTCGCACCCCCTGCGCCGATTTTCAAAGTTTGATTACTCGGCAAGGAATGAAGTGACGGTGCCGAAAATGCCGGAGTTGGACCACCCCGTCGCGAGCTTTCTGAACACGGTTCGTTTGCCTTTGGCATCCTCTTGGTCGTGGAGTAATCCAGCTGTGAAAGTCGGTCCAGGTCGTGTGGTATCTTGTGCAACGCACGGTATCTTTCTCTACCCCCTAGGCTGTGGAGGAATAGAGCTTTTGAAAGTCGGTCAATTGGGTTGCCATATCTCCGCCTCTTGCAGTACTCCGCAACAACAGCAGTAGCGGTGCCGAAAATGGCGGCGGTGGCGTTGGAACCGTCATGCCGAGATCTTGCCGGAAAGCGTACATGTCATTTGATTTTGCTATACCCTTCGTGGAGTAATGGACCGCCTCCCGCGACTATATATAACTTCACGAGGAAATAGACCAGGGCGGGGAGACGCAGACCCTATTCCCTAACCCTAACCCTTACCTAACCTAACTTCCCCGATTGTATGATTTATCCAACATGTTTATATAACTTCCCCGATTGTATCATTTATCCAACATTTTTGTACAACTTCCTCGATTGTATGATTCATCCGCCATTTTCATATCAGTTCCCCGATTTATATGATTTATCCACCATTTTCACATTACTTTCCCGATTGTATGATTGATCCACCACTTTCTTTTAATGCGAAAAACCCTGGGAAGGCTACTGGGAGAAATCGAGCTTCGAACACCGGTCCGAGGGGTGTGGTATCTTACGCCACCTTCGGCAAGCGCATCAGCAAAGTTGCCGCACAACACATTGTTGAGCAACATCGCGATTGCCCCAGCAGGAACTCCGCACACGCCACGTTTTAGAAACAAACGCATAACTCTTGAAGAAGACGCAAAATACCTGTTCCAGACTAAATTCATAGCTCCGCCATTTCGATGGGAACGTTCAGTTTCCCTCGGAGGGCTTAGTTTATTCAGTAAACATATTGGATAGGACATGCAATCGGGGAAGTTGGGTTAGGGTCAGGGTCAGGGATAGGGTCTGCGAAACCCCTCCCTGTTCTAGTTCCTCGGTCAACTTCGTTTTTATGCGGTAGTTTCGTTTCCGTTGATGCACATACACACACCCACGAAGAACCAAGATATGAAGTCTTCCCGCTGTGCGGAGGCAAACATCTGGAAGAGGCACGCATGGGGCGTTTACCTGGCGGCGAGCGTATCACACGCCACACCGCCGAGGAGCACGAGCTGCAGCAGCGTGACAGACATGGGATGGTGACAGACAGATGCGTGACAGATAGATGCCCGCCACATTCGTCTCGATCAAGCCTTCGAATTCCTCGCCAAGTGAAACCAAGCAATTGCAAACATCACGGGACATAACGACAACAAAAGCAACACATGCACCAAAAACAAAAGCCATTGATGGCCATGGCTTTGATGCGAGAGACCCACGGCAGCAGCAATAGCATCAGGCAGGGCACGGCTTTTGGAACGACAGTCAGTAGCGCGGCGCAAGTACCCAGCAACCTGACTGAAGCGATCCCGGGTAACCGTCCTGATAGCGCACAGCAGTAGACCCTCACGCCCTCGACGGTTTCTCTGGATGGTAGGTGTGATCATCCGTCGGTGCAGTTGGTCGCTCTGCTGTTATTTGTTATTTTAGCAGTCGGTTGGACCCCACTCAACATCAACAAACACTGCGGCCAGGTTACACATGGCGCATGACTACCCACGGCGCACAGGTCGCATACCGTATATGACACAAGATAACACACCCCCTTGACCAATTTTCGAAGCTCAATTTCTCAACTGCAGGAACAGTCACAACGCCGAAAACGGCGGCGTTGAAACCGTCTCGTCAAGAGCTTTTCGAAAATGTATCGTTTCGTTTATGCATCCTCTTCGTCGTGGAGTAATCGAGCTTTGAAAATCGGTCCAAGGGGTGTGTTATCTTGTGTCATGTACGGTACGCCCGGCCCCTCCTTGTTTTCAAAGCTGGTCTCGGATCATTGTCCCAGCGGTGATGCGTTTTTTTTTGGTCGTGTTGTTGTGTGTCTGTCGGTGTTTCTTCTCCTGGTTCGAATCGCGCGCGCGCGCGCGCGCGATCTCCGCTTTTTTTTCACGCCTTTTCGCGGAGAAACCCAGAGGTTTGGAGAGTAAGATCTCCTACGAATTTCGGGCACAAGCGCTTGTTGTGTAGCACGGCCATCTGCTATGGGAGCACAACCAAACATGTGTGTGGAAGAACGCGCTATTTTTTTTCTTCCTCAGAAGCGAACAGATCGTCAGTCGGTGCCCTATAGGTGTCGTTCCGGTCCCAAAAGTGTGTTATTTCGGCTTCCCCGTAGTCAAGTTTTGGGGGCCCTGTATCGCGTGACGCAACTTTGGCCGATAGGAGAGAGCCTTTCTTTTCCCGCCTGGGGACGAAGGAAAAAAAATGTCGCTCTTCGCGCTCCGCGGCTCATTACAAATGAGTACGGTGAAGGTCTGCAAAAGAAGGTGGTGGTGCAGCTGATAACGACCGCCTGGGCAGCTGATAGTGACCGCCCCTGCGAGGCACCCGCCTATTGTATTTATTGTGTAGAACATACCTTCATCGATTACTCCGTCTATGCCATCCAGCTTCGCCCGCCTCATGTAGGGCGACCGTCTTATTCAGACAGCCCTCCTTTTTCGAGGAACTCCCACTGTTTTCGGTGGCCCAGCTCTCACCTGCGGACCTGAAGGACCGGCAAACCTTTTCTTCGCCACTCATTGCTAAGGCTACCAACATAGGTGTGCCTTTCGATTGCTATGGTATTATCTCGACCGGTCAGAATTTCAGTGATTACCCACCAACCGCAGCTGAATCCAGCGATGAAGGCCAAAGGAGGCCTCGGCTTTCGCCACTCCGTGGCTCATCAATACTTCGAACGGGTGGTCTAGTCTTTCAGCGATTGAATGTACACCATCTAGAAGATATGCGGCGCGAAACCACTGCTGCGACAGCCGAAGCACGCGGTGTCCATCCCGCAAACACTCATGCAAGGGCTCCCCCCCACCGACCGCAACTCTCCACAGGAGGAGTGGGCAGGGAAGCAAGAGAAGCAGCAGAATGCGGGAAGGGGCATGGGGCTCCTACCAAGAAGGGGGGGGGCGCCGCAAAAGGGACGGCGAGAGAGTGCCCCTCGCCCCTTCCAGCGGGCAGCACGCTTCCGGGGGCGCCACGGACGGGGCTACTACCCCCGTAACAGGTGGCGGCAGCGGCGGCGGCTCCACCTCACGGAGCCCCCAAAACATTCTCTCGCGTGGCGACAGCGGCCTCAGATCTCGCGAAGCAGTGCTTCGCTCGTCGCCAAAGAAAGGCTTTCTCCGGGGTATGATGTTGCCGCCCAGGCTGAAGATGAAGCATCAGGGCGGGGGAGACACGGCAACGACGGCGGCGGCGGCGGCGGCAGCGGCGGCAGCGGCGGCGGCGGAGCTGGACTCGTCGACATCGCCGAGGAGAGGGAGGGCCATGACCTCGATGGAACCGTCGGACGAGGCGGACATGCGGAGAAGGGCCGGGCGGTCACCGTTGTGGGCTCTCGAGCGGAGATCCAGCGCTTCGGGCTACGAGGGCTTGCCGGAGATGCCGAAGGTGATGGAGGCGTTTTATTAGGAGCAGATAGGCGGCAA